TAAAGTTTAATATATTAACTATATCATTTTCTGTAGTTCGGCTTTTTGGAAAGTTTGGTTCAAATGATCATCAGAAAAAGGGCTGATAGTAATTGTTATTGTTATTATTATTATAATTATAATTATACTATTTTATATTTTTATTTCTTTATTCTCTATAAATCAGTTTAAAAAGATTTTGCAGCTTGCCAATGAAGTTAAAGAAAAAAATTTAACATATTAAATATGCTAGAAAATAATAGCATAATAGCAGTAGATAGTATAATAGATCTAAAATACTAGTTAATGCACCTGTTTAAACTATTTTTTCTTCTTATTATTTTGATAAAGAAGAAGAAATGAATAAATTGGAAAGAAAAAAATATGATAAAAATGTTGCTGCTAGCAGTAGTCAAGTTGCTAATATTATTAAAAATATTGATAAAAGAACTAAAAAAGCTGATATTATACTGGTGTTAAAAATAAAGACAATTGTTTTTGATTAGCAATCAATTTTTAAAAAAATTAAATAGATATTACATATATAAATAGCATTTTTTATAGTATATTACTATATAGATTATTGCTTTTAGCATAGTAATATAGTTATATATATAATAAAAATAATACCATAGCAATAGTATATAAATATAGTTTTCTATTGCTTTAAAAAAATTCTAGTATGATATTTAAAAAAAACTATCAAATTGAATACATATAAATAAAGAACTAATCAAAGCTATATTAGCTACTAATATAGATATAAAATTAAAACAAAATAGTTCTAAAAGTTTTCTAGTTGTATATAATATAGAAAAATTAAAAATGCTATTAAAAAATTAAAATGTCTATTGAAAAAGCTAATATGTCTATGAATTTAGTAAAGAATAGTTCTAATAGTCTACTGTTAAGTTTAAAAGATTGTGACTCTGTTGCTTTATAATTCAATATCTCATATAATATATAATAAATAATCTTTTGAAAAAAGGTATTAGATTTGGCTAATAGGTGATTAAGGCTTTTAGTTACTTTAAGTTAGTGAATACAAATAGAGTAAATTACATGATCAGGAGCTTGAATATTAACATTATAAAAGTTTACAAGATTTGTAATAATAATAGTATTAGTATTTATTATATACAATATAATATATTAGAATTTATTATTTAATAAAGCAAATAAAACATACTGCTTCTAAGGGCCATTTTAGCCTTTATTTATAATATAAAATTTATCACTTACAGATATAACTTATCTATTAAAACTAATTAAACTATTTATACATATTTATTTAATATTCATTATTTTCACTCTTTATTCTTTATCTACCTCTTCAGATCTAAAAATTATTTCTAATCTTAAATGTAACTTATTACACTTATTATATTTATTGCACTTATTGCATTTATTGTATTTTTCATATAATTAGTCATAATATTCAGTATCACAATTTCCAGTATTACACTACTCTAATAGAGTTTTAGACTAAGGATAAATTAGTTCTAGCTATAGTTTCTGTAATAATTTATATAAAACCTTTTAATTAATATAATACCAAATTGTTTAATAAAGACTAAGAGCATTCTTATTTTTTAAAAAAAATACATAATATAACATTCATTACCATTTCTGTTAAATTCTGTATTATGGTATTTGGCTTTTTGTAATTACTAAATCCTATTAATATTGCATAAAGCATTATACATTATATATATTATATAGAATTAAATAATTATTATTCAAAAATATGTACAAATAATTAGTATTTTAGATTTAATTTTAAAAACTTAGTCTTTTCATTAATTATATATATAATTCTAATTCAATGAATTAAATCTTTGTTATTTATAACTAATACAATATATATATAAAACTAAAAATATTAGTACATATTAAATATGATATAAAATTTATATAACTTTGTTTTTTTTTATATAAAATATAACATAATTTGTATAAAAAATTTTTTAAAAAATATATATATTATTAATAATTAAAGTTATATCAAATTAAAAAAATCTGATATAATTTAAGTTAATAAAATCTATATAATATAAAGTATTATTAAAAAACAAATAAAAAAGCCATTTAGTTTTTTTTATATTATTATTAATTAATAATTTATAATGTTATATTGTATAAAGATAATTATAAAAATAAATTAAATTTGTTTAATAAACAAGAATAAGATAAAATTAACAGTTATATAGACCATAAATGTTTATTCTATTAAGCACAAAGATTATAAAATATTGCAATTCTTAAAATATTAAAGTAATAGTATTTATATAATAAACTATTTTTAATAATCTGATCTAAATTGAACCTATTTATCAAATTACATGTTTTTTTTATATTTGAAAACTATCAAATTATTATATAAAGTCAAACTTCAACTAGTAATAAATTTATTAATTTAGTGTATCTTAATAAAAAATAAATAAAATAATAGCAATTATAAATATTATATAATATAAAATTAAAATTAGTTAAAAGAATTTTAAATTTTTATAATTCTTATTATAACTAACAATAATTTGATTATTATATTTAAATAAAAATATCTAAATCAAATAAATTAGATTTGATATTAATAATATTTACAATTTTATATAATTAATTTAATATAATATTTATATTAATAATAAAAAATTTTAAAAAAATATTTATATAACTTAGTTTTTAGAAAAGATTTTTTAAATTTAAAAGCTTTTAGACAAATTAAAAAAATTTAAAAGATATAAAATCTTTAAAAAGATTAATTAGATATCTAAAAAATTTTAATAAGTACAAAAAAATAAAAATTTTAAATTAATATAATAAACCTTTTTAAGTTTAATAATAAAAAAACTTATAAAAATAAATTTTAATTTTTAATTTTTTAATATATATCTTAGCAATTTTAATTTGTTTATATATTAAAATACTTGTTTTATAAAATAGAATAATTTTCTAATAAGTATTAAAGTATCTTTAATTAGTAAATTATTTTTAAAATAATAAGATAATAATTCTAGTATAATAGTTATATTGTTATTTTTCAAGTAGTAAATTTAGAAATTAGATTTTATTAGTAACAAATTTTAAAAAAATAGAACTATTTTAGTAACTTGAATAAGTATCTATGATTATAACTCTGTAATTTTGTCTATAATAAAACTAATTTTAAAAATATGCAATATTAAAAATTAATTCTAAAAAGTATATACAAATAAAAAGTTTTGCTTAAAAATTTTGAGTAAAAAATAGTATAATTTTTAAGAATACTAATTGTAAAACTCTTAATTTAGAGAAAAAAAACTAAAGCAAATAATTTGTATAAGCAAGAACCTTTAGATAAAAGAAGTTTACCAACTTGATTATTAGTTAATATAAGTTTAAAGTTACATTATATAAAGCTAACTAAATTAGTAATATAGAAAAAACTATTAATTATACAAGCTATTAGTAAAGTTATAAAAAAGAATATTAAAGTTGTATAAATTCTATAAAAATATAGCAGTTTAATAGCTAGCCTTAACTGTAAGTATTAATATTAGTTATAATAATACTCAATTAGTTGTAAATTAAAATACAAAAAACTTAGTAAATTTAATACAAAGTTAAAAGTTTATTATATAAGTAAACTGCTTTAAAGAATTAGTAACTATAATATATTTATATTAGTAATGACTAGAACTTTTAATAAAATGAATAAGTAGATATATATAAGAACTAAAATTTTAAATAAAAAAACTCATAAACAGATTTTAGATATAACAACTAGTATAAATCTTTAGATAAACTGCTTAAATTAGACAATAACTAAAACTATATAAGTATCTAATTGTATACTATTTTTATAATTGCCTTTTATAATTATTATAAAAAGCAACTATTTGCTAAAAAAATACTATCAATAAAATTCTAGATTATAAATATTTATTTTAATATTAAAAAAAAATATTTTAAAAAAATCAAATTTAAAATTTTAATTTTAGTAATTTTCCTTAGTAACTAAGTATTATTAAAACTTAAAACTTAATTACTTAAAAGAAAATAATGAGCTAAGCAATTTTAATTAAAAATACAAATAAGATTTATTTAATAAAATATTAAGAAATAATTATTAAAATTTTAATACAAATTAATTAAATATTATAATTTTTTTTCATTATTAAGGTGAGGTCATGCCCTCTAGTCTTTATTAGTATATTGTTATAGCTAGTACAAATCTATTTATATATCATCTATCACTATATATTTATTTAGACATAGGACTCAGATATATTTATCTGCAACCTAAACCTACCCAAGTTCTATATTGTGTTTTACTTATATCTAACCTGTGTTTTTGTTTTATTACTAATTATATTAGATAACCTGCATATTCTCCTTATGTCTCACAACCTATTTTAACAACTCTCAAATTGGTTTACTGGGTCATTTGCTCCTTTTGAGCTACTATCTTTGGTTTGCCCAAATGGTGCCACTCTAGCATGTATCTTAAGCCAGATTTCTGCTGCTGCTGCTAACTTCCCAATTCAGATACTAGTAACATGTATCTCAAGCTAGGTTCCTGCTACCCTACTGGTTTGCAACACTTCTTGGTCTTAGCATTATGTCCAACAGATTGTACAGCTAACCTGCTCCTTAAGTACTCTCTTTTATAGTATAGATAGAACTTTATCTTAAGAATGGATACCTATTTTATTCCAGCTATAGACTGGTATTTCCACTACTAACACAAAGTTCTAAAGGTTTTAACTTCCAATTTAGATATCTCAACCATGATTGGTATGGTATTTATGTTGGTATGTTCCACTTGTTTCACCATAGGCTTCTATATAAGTGTGATCAAAGCTCCAGTTTGGAACTTTTAGATATACAGAACAGATTACAACTTCTCTATACAGATGGCTATCTTCTATTCTTAGACATTCTATGGTGTCAGAAGTGCTTCTAATCTTGATAAGGCTAATTCTTTTGTCACAAACCTTCTATGCATGCACTGCTTCTCTCACCACTCCATTTTGTGTGATCTTGGTATCACCTTTCCAATTAAGTACTCTACAAGTTGGATATGGAGATGTTGGTACTGCCTTATCTTCAAAAGACTTACATGTGCAAACCTTTGTATAACAGAATCTTCTGTGATGCTGCTATCACACATAGTGCCCATACTCTGCAGAGTCGGTTTCCTTATGGGAATTTCTTTTTCCATTATATACTGCACTTGGATTTAACCACAGGGCTCATATTCAATTATAGGCTCCATATGGGTTACAGAAGCTAAAATCTTTTGATTTTGTCTTCAGCCAGACTTGAACTATTGACCTTGACTGTGGAGGTATGGGAGCTTAACTATTAAACTATAAAACCTATATCCTAAATATTATAATTTATATTATATATAAATATATATAATATATATATTCTTTAATTTTTTTTAAATTTCTTATTATAAATTCTAAAGGGTATAAGTTCTATAGTTTAGCAGTTAAGCTTCTATATTCTTCACAGTCAA